CTATTGTTTATTTAAAATATATTTTTTACACGGTTAAGTCCGTAGCTAAGATCGTAGTTCAAAACACTTCTAGTAATTATAGGAAAAGTAGTTATCCATGTTTAATACAAGTTTTTACTGTGGTGAGTGCACGAAATGCTGTTAAAAACCAACCGCACTCTATGTATTTTTTATATAGTAAATTAGTATAAATCACTAGGGTCTAAATTGACTCTTTTCGACCCAAGCTCGAGTTTTACAATTGAGGTGAAACCGAGGTCGGAAAATGAGCGAGGGTCGCGAAAAGAAACTTTTTGCCCATGTGATGAACTAAAGTATATTTTTCGTCATATTGCACCATTATTTGAACAAAATACGTAACAAAACTAAAATAGTTTTCTTTTAAAGATAGCTTCTAAAAATACTTCAAACTTGTTTACGATTTAATTTACCAATGGAAACATTTTTTTAGTTTTTTCGTCAATGTTTCCATTTTACCCTTTAACAATATTAGTTTCTGGATTTTGAACTTTGCACAAACATATATTTTCATCTCCATTCAATTTTTTTGTTAATTAGTTTTAATCGCTTGGTTTAAAAAAGTAACACGTATAATTAAAGAAGAACTTACATTTTCAGTACGTCTCTGATGCAATATACACGATGTTTAGTCATTCTAAGACAGAAGGATCTTTTCTAATGCATTAGTATAGGCCTAAACAATATGTAATTTTGAACAAAAAATATGAATAACTAAAACAGTATTGAGGGTAGTTTGAATCTTCAGATATGAATCTGTCAAATAACAACTATTGTCAGAATTCAGTACCAAATTAAAAAAGGTAAGAAAAATGTCAGTACGTAATATCTTTAGATGATTACATAAAACAGATGTTACGAAGTCATTATTTCAGCGTGGTACTGCTAGAAATAATGACAAATGGTCATAATCGATTGTTCACAACCATTAGGATTTGATTGATCATGGCTGCAATCCCGTTGGTCATCTCGCCGATTAATAGCGATTGTAATTCATCGAAGTGAAACACCATCATACTCAGAAAGTAGTGTTGTAGGTATGTAACGCAGTACTTTGGTCTTTTCATTTTAAAAAGTCATAATGTCATAATGTTCGTGTTTTTATTTTAACGTTAATAATATATATGGCATGGATTTATTGTTAGTTGATTTTCAAAGGCAAAAATAATTAAAGGGGTGCGAGAATTTGCTTGGGAGGTTACCAGTGTGAGGCAGCTTTAAAAGTTATTTTCCTATTACTTTAATGTGGGGTTTACAAATAACAACTTTTTGATTTCTTGGATGAAGTTCGAATCATTACAATTGTACCTCTTCTCTCTCAATCCTTGAACCTCATTGGTCCGTTACCCGTGTTAAGTAAGCCTATGCTGTTATATAAGTAAACAGTCAACCAATTATGTTATGTGAAACTTTTCAATTCTAAGAACTAAACTTAAACGGCTACTCTAAAAAAAAAAAGGTCATAGGTAAAGAAACAAAACAATACTGAAAATAAGTAAACAATACTGTAAAGTGAAGCTTTTCTATTCTAAGAACTGAATTGGAAAGGCTAACTAAAAAAACGTCCGTAGGTAAAAATATTTTATAAGACGTATGAAAGAGAAAGGTATTATGGTTGGCTTTACACTCGACAGGAAGGGATACGACGTTCATACCTTAGTCCCGGAATTTTGATTATCTCATATATCTCTCAGATTTAAATTACCACGGTTTAGGTTCACAGTTTCATATTTCAGAGTGAGGTATAACAGATTACACAAGTTCGTTGAATATGCATCTTACATATCATTGAATTATCATTTACAAATACTTTCAGCTCAAATGTATTCTATAAAATATGATCTAGACTCTAGAGATTAATTTATTTACAGTATACTTAAATAATCGGTTTTAAATTAAGTATTTTATATTAAAAATAAATAATTACGTATCAAAAGAGATTTATGAAATGCTCTAAATCACCCATATCGATGATTAAAATTAGTCATATTATAGCCTAAAAGCAGCAAAAGTAGTTAAATATTTTTCGAGTTCCTTAAAGATTCCAAAACAACTCTAGGTATTCCTGTAAATGTATTTATTAATAATTTATAATATTTTTCAAAAAGATCTTAATTTATTTAAACATAACATTTTATTGTTGATCAAAAGAACAAACAAAATTATGTTATCACATCGGTGAAATACTCGTATCTTGTACATTATACCATATTATATACTTAACTGGCCATGCCAATTTCAGTACAATACATTCCTGTTTATTTTTTGTGTGAAACTTATAGCATTATAAAATATTATAAAACTATATACTTATTAGGGTACTTACGTATTATACGGAGGCCACTTATTTTACAGCGCGCTGCGGCGGTTAGGTTAGGTTGGGTTATCATAAGTTTTTATGACTCATCTCGTATAGTTCGATTCATAACGAAACTAGGAAAGTTCTACAAACATATTTTTGATAACCCAACTTAACCCAACCAGCGCGCTGTAAAATAAGTGGCCTCCGTATAATACGTAAGTACCCTTATTAGATTATAAAATATAAAATTTTAACACAAATAAAACAAATATAAAACTATAAAATTATAAATTTTTATATGTTAGTAAAATAGTATATCTTCTTCTCGGTTTTGATCATAAATTATTTACTGTTTAAACCATAATAGTAATACAATCATTATATTTATGTTGTGTAAATTATGTTTTAATTAATAAAAATTATTGAAGCTGTTGTTACAGACGCTGAAGATGGATGGTTTATGTTAACAGATGTAATCAGTTCAGCGCGGGAGGGTGGGACGGTATTACAGGTTAACATCCATTAGTGGATTGAACATTCAGTTGTCTAAATGCTGGATTTAACTGGACACCTACGGGCTCGAGTCTTGACCCAATTACATTCTATACACAGGCATGGTTTCCATTGTAATCATGTCTTCCTTTAAATTATTCTGAATAAATAACCTAAATTTCGTTACTGTCACTATTTAAAACTAAATCTACCATTTCAATTGGTAAATAATTAAATAAATTAATCATCAAAATTTAAATTCAAACTACTTTTTGACATTGTGCATTATCATACTTTATGATCCAAGATGGATTTAGCAACTGAAAATAAACAAATTCAGTGATTTCGGTATTCTTATGTCATATGTGACACTATAACAAATGTCCAGAGGAATCTGACTCAGTAAATATGTGTTGAAGACCTTTATTGCATACAAGAGTAATCTATATCGGGTCAGTAAATTCAACATAAATAAACAAACACTATATCAGTGAGACTCCAAGGCCAATATTATACTGGGATTGTGGACCAACCCCATTACTATAGGTGGTTTGATTTTGAGTACTAACTGAGATCAAAATAGTATTCGAACAACAAGTGAACTGGGTTAAACTTTAGTTCTACAATTGCTGATGCCTCGTGCCTAGGGTAGGTGTTCCTGAGTAATCGATGGCCGTTGCATGTGACTTTTGGATATAAATAACTCAAACATTTTAAGATAACTCAGTAACACCGAAGTTAGTGAAGACTAACATCTTCTGTGTTTTAGTAATAAAAAATCAATACTTATCTAACTAGTAGTAAATATCGTACCATACATCCCATTGTCTCGAGCGTTGTAAGAGGTGCATAATAGCTGTCCTTTAATGAGCGTAGTTTTGTTTGGGAAAAGATGTCATCCATTTATTTGTATGTGTAAAAACATTCTTTTGTATGTGGAAATCGTTGATTCATTTTAGGTTCTTGATTTAAATGAGCTGACAACAATAAACGTGAACCATTTTGTCCATAGCATTGATTTTGATATAATTGATTTTTTTTTGAAAATACTTCATCTAATAAGTAGAAATCCTACTACTGAGAAAGTAACACATAAAATTTATATTATTCTCCTATCGAATCTTTAACCACACTAAAGTGATATAAATACTTTAAGTATTGTTTATTAATTTTTTTACCATATTGGCTTTGTACAATGCAAACATTTTTTATCCATCCTAATGATGACTACAATATTTTAGTGTCCATATACACTCTAAGCGATGAAGGGCGTGGTTCTGATATGCATTGCTCCTATATCATCTGCGAATATGTTTTGTTTATATTATACATGAGAAATTGCAACATGTAATTATTTAGTAATTAAATAATAAAAATATTTAGAAATCTAATAAAATTAAACATTTCCAGTTTTATAAATTTGAATTTAGTTTTACGATGAGTTCATGACTCAACATTTCTATAGTCATTCTAAAAACATACGATAAACCGACAATATAAAAATTGTTGTAGGGCACTCACCAAGAAACTTTATATTGGGCAGTATCTAAATATCGTTTGCGATCTTACCTTGAACTACTTTTGATATTTCAAAATTTGATCGTATTTCCTCATAATATCAGGGACCTTCTCTTTAATTTCAACCAAATTTAAATGTCTTTCAATTGTTTTGTAATGGATAATTCTATAGCGATAAAATATTAATTAGAATGGATAGTGCATTTATTGGTTTGGGTTGAGTTTAAATATATATATATATATTTATATATTTTGTATCAATAACATTTCTAAAGAATTTTAAACATTCCGATCTAAAACAGTGATTAGGAGTACTTTCAAGGCACAACTACTTAACCAATGACACACTCTAGACTCTTAAGCACCACGCTCTCTGGTCCAATTAATTTGAACCCCTTATTGATATTATTTTGAAATATTTTATTAGCTAATATGGGAAATTCGCTAAAAAGTATAAAAACCTAAAATAAAAATTTATTACATTTGCAAAATAATTAATTCGTATCAGATCAATACTGATATCAAACATATATATTTTTAATTCTGATATTAGTAACAGAATCAAACATCCACTATTACTGGCCTTAAGCCACAGTCTTGATACACTTAAACTGAAGGTGCGCCAGGGATAAGGACTAGAATGAAAAAAAAACTACAACATATTGTGAAAACGTAACATAAACTATATTCTTACAGTTCCAAATATTTTACAACGAACGTAGGTACTATAATGTATGTTTTAGCACGTACAGTATAGCACAGCTCACCTACGCTAGTACAGTAACTTGAACACTGCGCTGTGATCGACTTAGACTACCAGTGATGCTACCAGTCTGTCGCCACTACTGCCAGCGGCGACCAGGAAGACATAGATGCTTGAGTACGGAGCTGTAAGCTCCAGTCGACCTTCCCTCTCATTCTACTATCCTTGTACCTGGTCCACAGTAACTGTAGCCTCGTGAGTGTATGTCAAATTGATAAAAGGGAACTCGTAACTTTTTAATGTATGAACTAAAAAACCCGTTTGGATGGATTACTCTTTTAAATCCATGCGATATTATTATACTGACATATAAGATATATAAGTAACACTTACTTAATAGTCTTATATAGTAATATATATTAAATGTAAAATGTTTCTGTGAATAAATGTTGTATTGGAAAAATGTTTTTCAACATTATTTTTGTATTTTGATTACCAGCATTAAATAGTGTTTAATTATCAAATATACATTTAAACCAACAGAATATTTGACTTACAAAAAAGCTTTACTTCATCATTTTGTCAAAAATGCAAGGACAGCAAAATGAGTCAGGAAGATCAGACTACCGTATTTGAAAAATATTTACAAAGATCTAAATTTATTTTGACTGCATATCACCTCATTTGATATTTCACTCTTTACCCTAATGTATTCGGTTTTAAAACGTAATGTATTCCTGTGTAATATCACACTCATATAATTTCGAAAAGTGTGATGATTTCTTAGTACATTCTATTTGGTAGATTTTTATGCAATAATTTAAATACCAAATATGTTTTGATAAAAATGTGGTTTTTGTGAAATTCTTATTCGTGTTTCTCTCTGACCAATACGTTTTATTTCTGGCTTAACTGGCATTAATCATTTGTAATTGTTTTCGTAGGCATTAATTAGTTTTGCGAAGATTTTTATGTAGTATATTGTAAAAATAAACCACATGTTTGCCGTAAAAGTAGTATTAAAATAATAATAAAAAGCTTAATTATAAATATTAGCTTTATTTCTCATTTTGTGATTAAATTAAATAAAATGTATTTTAAAATGACAACCATTACCTACTAAAAGTATCAAAAACCTCCAAAAACTTGAAACTTCCAATTGTTTATACACTTTTGAGCTTTGATTGCAATAACGCTCGATATTGTTACCGAAACTTAATTTATTTGTTCATATATTTTCATTCATTAATTTTTATTTTATTTTCTGACAACTCCTTAAAAACTATACCTATTTACACTCATACAGTATTTTAAGAAAATACTGGGCTGAAGCATTACATTTAGAGCTTTACAGAACAATGCCAAACGTTATGTAAGCTCTTGAAATACAATAAAAATTACGGGCTTAATAGATAATAAATTACATAAAATATTAAATCAACTTCCAACATAATTGCCACTTACGGTTATTACACTTATACAAACGATATTTTATTCTTTACAAAATATTACTATAATACATTTTTAATATAAAAATACCATTCCACAAATTTAAATTAACATGTACAATATAAAATCTTATATGCGATATACAACATACACAATTATAACGTTAATCTAGGATAGACATTTTACGTAGACACTGCATACAGTGTCCACCGACTAGAAGCAGACAGAAAAGGCTTACGAAGGTAAATAGAGCACCATCAAAACATACCAGTATATAAAAATCTTAGCTCCTATGTACAAACAATGTACATTACCGGGGCCGGTGGTCTATATGTTGGCAAAACTTTGGCAAATACATGTCTTCAGTTATATAGGATTATCACTCCTTTATGTTATAAAAGTAGCTCATCCGGTGTAGGTAATTTGCACTAACAAGAATTACGTATCTAGATTCAACAAGAGAATAAATGATCTACTGATAGACATTAAAAGTAGCTATGATGTCTAAGTGATGATTGTTCTTACGTAGATTGTATTCATACCAACTGCAGTTTTGGGTATCTATATTGAGACTATATTATCTGTGTGATTAAAAAGTGGTCAACAATATGTTACGACACTTCTAATACTATTTTACTTTAAATCACTTCGTTATAACTGGGTCAATCTACTAAATTCGGTAAGGAAAATTACCTTAGCACGTATATATGGCTTAAAATAAGTTATATGTGTTTATAAATCGTACGTAGTACGATTTATTTAGTGAATTATTGTCTTGGGTCTTAAATTTAATAAATATATTGACTTTATAGTAACGTTATTTGGTATTCCATTGGGTGCGTTGAATAAAAAGGAAGAAACGTGATTGCAGTTGAAAATATTAAAAAGTGAATTACCTCTCGTGCATAGTAAGAAAAATAGTAGTGTGGAAGACACAAATTATTTACTGCTTTGAACGATTGTAAAAAAGTTTTAAGTAATTTATAGTAACATAGAGGAAAGCATTGTATTGTTTAACCAAGTGACGGATGTGGTTTTGATTTAATCAAAGGTTATGTCCCCAATGGAGTTAGATAAATAGTCCTACATCAATCTATAAAAGTCTTAATTCTTAGACAGCTCTTTTAATTTAAAAGAAATTAGGATATATTCTTCTTGCTGAAGTGTAACCGATTTAGAATTAAATCATCATTATATCCATAGTAGTATCCTCTGGTTTAGTCGTAGAAGGAACAACGCCGTCAATATAGCTATTGGATATCCCAGGGATGACGACACAGCTCGTGAGTCTGCCGAGATTATCGGTTCTGCAGCCAATACTCCAACTGTAATCATACATACAAATATTTTAATTTTCCAAATTTGAAAATGTATTGAAACATGTAACCAACTATGTGCAATCAAACAATCGAAAAAGGTTTGATCCTTGACCCATATTTTTAAATATTAGGTATATTTGTTAAAAAATTAGGATTGGTGAAAGTAGCATTTAATGATGCAGTCATAAAAATCTCCCCTCTGGTAAAAATAACTTTTTTTATACAGTTTTCATTTGCTGTGATCAAAGTGGTATGGGTAAGTAGTTGGGGAAAAGTAGTAGGGAAAGTAGTTTGGGGAATTAGTTGGGGAAAGGTAGTAAGGAAAGTAGTTTGTGAAAGGTAGTAGGCAAAGTAACATGTTGATAAATCAGTGTTGCAAGGTATTTAAGATTAGGTTTATTATGGAGTTGTCATTGTTGCATTTTGTTCACTTAAAATTATTAACAAAACTGGTTATTTCCCAACAGGATAAGTTAACAAAATGCACCTTTATATGACCATTTGTATAGCAAACCGATGGTTTTTAAAGAAAGCACAATTAATTCTTTATAGATTACCAGCAGTAGAATATATGTGTTAAAAAATTGAAATAGCGAATGGTAGGCAATCTGACGGATGGAAGTTGATCGAAACAAATGTCCGATTGTTGAGGCAGTGGCTGAGAGAGACGTAAGTTGCCGTCGCTAGTGATTGATCCGTAACAACGAGTCGCGTGCAACGCCACCTTTGTTACTGATTTGTGTTGATCCTCAGAACGATCAAAATACCATCGGAAGTAGTCTTATTAACTAGTTTTGTTTTTAGCAAAAGATATCTCAAAGAAAGTGGAAAATTGTTTCCTTACCCTTCTGAAAGAAGGTTAGAAATTGTGATCTTTGAAATTCTTAGCAGTGTTTTAAACGCTTGTAGCGAATGATATACAAACAGTGCATATTCTGTACACTTAGTAACAGTTATAAAGGGATGTTTGCATGACAATACACTCTAAATTGCGTGTTCAAGGTTGAAAGTCATATACATTTGCATATGACGGTCTTGTGTTTTACTATTAATTGATCATATAACCACAATCAATGCTATTGTAAACTACCCAGCAAAGTCAATTTTAGGATATAGGTTGGTTTTTTTACCGGTCTATTGGAAAGGAACGCTTGTTTTTTATTACCCTGATTAACCACCTGCTAGGGAATTGGTTTTTGCTATAATTAGAATTCAGGCTATATGAGACGTTTATACATTTTATATAATTTACAATCATAATAACCAACTTACATGGATAATAATTCACAATTACTAATTTACTCGATTCATCTAGTTAGCTGATATGTTGGATATTTAGTTTGCTTAGACAATCATACAATCGTGATCAACCCCAAATATCTATTTAAAGGCAAGGTTGAAGATGTCGAGGCGATCCACCCACGTCCAGAGTGCATACATTTTCCGCATGCTACCTAACCATTCTGTGAGCTCGACTCAATGTATTTATAATGGATCTCAAACATAGGCTACTTATTCATCTTATTTCACTTCCATTTAAAGTTTTATAATTTAGTATTTAATATTTAATTTAACGAGTGACATGATTGATTTAAATGCAAGAAAATAGTGTAGTAGTCTGGATGATCATACCAAGCTACATGTTAGTTTGCAAACCCTTAAACCGTTGCTTTACCGTTCTTCCAAATGAAACAATTTAAGTTTAAGTTCAAAAACCAAATCACTATTGAAACTTATCCTTGAAAAAAGTCCTCGCTTAGAACTGTCAAGGAGAGCGAGCTTCACCGAGAAAAAAATTGAAAATGAAATCCTCACCTCGCATGACGTATCTACGGTGATCGGCGTAGTCTGTGTGGCGAACATGATGTCCCATGAAGCCTGGTATGGTAGACAGACACGTCAGCTCCAGTTCTGGTACGTGTTCTTCCTTCAGCTCCATGCTCAGCTGAACCGTCACTGAGGAAGGCCTTTGCTCTGGAAACGTCCTTATCCACTGTTCATCAGCCTGCAGACATTGAATAGTTGTGTGATTAAACACCGATGAATTTTATGAGGATGGACCGTCTTTGGTTATTGGTATGGTCGTGCATTAATTAGGCCAAGGCGTCCCTGAATTGTGCCAAACCCTCAAAGGAACCAAAAATGTTCCCTTTGTCGCATTAAGGTAAGTATTTGATCAAGGTATTTGATCAGGTAGGGGTAAGTTTCCGGCAGAATGTCCTTGTTTACGTGTCATCCTATAACCTATCCTAAACTAACCTGACCTAATTTAACCTAACCTAAACTAAACTAACCTAACCTAACCTAACCTAACCTATGATACATAAAAAATCAATATCACCTATTGGCCTTCCGAGAGCCCTCAACGCCTTTGAGAATTATTGTGTGGAGTGGAAACTTAGAGTCAATGTGAATAAAACTAAAGTTATGGTATTGAAAAGGGCATAAAGTTTGTAAGAAATTTAATTGGCAAATAATGAAAAAGCGATTAGAAATTGTGAAAGAGTATACATACTTAGGGGTAGAGTTAAATCATAACGGAACTTGGACTAAGCACCAAAAGGCAATGTCAAACAAAGCGGAAGTAGCTGCGGACACTGTAAACGGTTTTTGGAAGTAAGTAAAAATACAGCCAATAGTGGAGCGATTTTGGAAGCTGGCCGGTTATTGAAGTCATTTAAAGCTAAAGAAAGAGCAATATAGTATATTTTGTAAGATTAAAGACATCATTAGATAAGAAATTACAAAGAGCTTGTTAAAAAGCTAATGAAAGTTATAGAAACAACCGTTCATGGTCAGGCGAAATAAAGCAGTTGTTGGAAAATATTAATGTAATTGAGTTCTGGCAAAGTGATACCGTTAGCTTAACAAATATTAAACAAGTTAAAGATATTTTTAAGAATGCGTGTTACTCTTATTTGTGGACTGAGGCGATGACAAAGAAAAGTTTACAAGTTATAAGGATGATTGGAGTGCCAAGGTCAGGAGCAGAGTATGTTTGTTTACTTAAACCAAGTCAGAGGTCACTGATAGCAAGATATAGATTAGGAACCTGGCTGTGGATGTGCAGGAAAGATGAGACAGGAAATAGAATATGTGTACTGTGTGGGGAAATAGAGAATGGATGGCATGCATTTATTGACTGTAGGTATAATGGAATGGGAAAATCTGGAATGGACAGTATGTTTATGGAAAATAATACGTCAATATTGCGTGATTTTGCGGAACATTTAAAAATATTTTTTGAAATATTAGAGAAGAATGGAAAATAAGGTCCGCATGCAACATACAGCCGTCCTCCCCCCTCATGACTCAAATCCCCTTAAATGTCTGTTTGAAAATTTTAATGCAGTTCTCTTTCTTTTAATGCATGTTTGAATACAATTAATTTTTAAAGTTGGCTCAGCTATCAGTGCAGATATTTATTGTTCTTCTACCGGTATTCTATGTTTATATTTATTTTTGAGATATTTATTGGTTATTTATTGAATTATTTATTGCATGTTAATATTTATATATTTATTTATTTACCTAGTTATTAGTAAAACTAATTTACCAAGCTTTGTTTGTTCATGTACTTGTATTTTGGAAATGAATTTATTTGATGTACCCCTTGAGGGAAAAATCATTAAAAGAATGATGATGATGATGATAAAAAATCAATGGTAGAGCATATAAAGGATGTTTTCAACGTTCTTAGTAGAACTGTAGTCAAAATCATGCGGTTGAGATTTGCCTGTATAATCAATGGTAAGTGTGTCTAATTGTTTTACAATAAATTTAGAGACCCGTACTATTCTCTAAAGTATTCTCACCCCATTGCAAAGCACAGGTTGAACAACTAGTTTGAATTGACACACAACATACTATCGGTAATCCGACGTTCCCTAATCCAGCGGTAACAGTAATCCGACAGTATTTCAACCGCTCGCGTTATTTATTTAACGATCACTAGAAAAAGGCAACTGTATAAAATATACTGAATAAATTACCCAATAGTTGTTAATTGGTCTTTATACTGTTGGGAAATATTTTTTATCCTATAGCAAAGGGTAACAAAATGATTTTATTTACACGAAAACACCCTTGCATTATGTTATGTATGTTTAGTCAGTAAATAATTATTTATTATTGAAAATATAACTATGGATGAATGGACGGTTGTAAATTGAAATCTGCTGTTTATTTATTTAGATACTGAGATGCTTAAGAGACATCCTATTGGCTAGTTTAAACTCTCATTCCGCTTAGCACTTCTCACTTTCGATTGTTGGTGATGAAGATTACTGTAAAATGGCTATCTGATATTTTAATAATGTAGGTTTAAATATTCTTTAGACTGATTGGAGATTAGAGATTCTAGATTCCAACGTTTTAAGGTCAGTTTATATCACTATATTTTTATGACTCTTCATAAATCCATGGATATCACTAAACCAACGCCAGAATAGATTATGAGATAATTGATAACATACATAATACGTGTATATACTATATACTATGCTTTATTAGCTACTGTGTTTATATTATTGTGTGGTTATTTATGGTTTTGTTTTATTTATGTAAAGTGTCACATTATTTATTTCACTTCATTCATTTAGCGATGAGTGTAAACATTGGTAGAGGAAAAATTTTCCCGGAAGTTAAATTATAGTGCTGAGATTGTGCACCTGGTAAACCAGGAAGTAATATATTTTGCTATATACCCAAACTTGGGGAAATGGTAAACCAGGAATTAAAATATTTTACTATATACCCAAATTTGGGGAAATGGTAAACCCGTATGGTAAACCAGGAAGTAAGATATTTTACTATATACCCAAACTTGGGGAAATGGTAAACCAAGAAGTAAGATATTTAACTATACACCTAAAATTGGGGAAATGGTAAACCAGGATAGTAAACCAGGAAGTAATATTTTACTATATACCCAAACTTGGGGAAATTGTAAACCAGTATGTTAAACCAGGAAGTAAGATATTTTACTGTATACCCAAACTTGAGGAAATGGTAGACCAGTATGGTAAACCAGGAAGTAAGATATTTAGCTGTTTAAAAGGTTAGTTTAGTCAGATTGTTTTTTAATAAATAGTAGGTAAACCGAAATACTAATTCATAGCATAATACTATTATCCTGTCGTGATAATACTACCTAGACAGGTAACATCAGTTTCATCTCTCAACTATACATTGAATACAACCAAACTGACAACTACACGTAGTTTCCAAAGGTACGCCGCGAGCCTGCAACTTTTCTATTGATTATCCTATCCCCGAGCGTTTGAATTTTTCAGCAGTTCAACAGGGCAGAGGATAACTCGCTAACTAACTCGCCGGGATTGCTATTTAAAAAAAAAAAGAAATATGTTCTATATATTTGTGTGTATTAAAAATGTTAGTAAGTAAGTATTTAATACTTACATTTATTTATTAAAGTATTAGTTCGACTCTTTAAGTACAAAACATGTGGTACGGTTCCATCCCTTAGGCTTCGATTCACTTAGTGTTAAATTAGATTATTCAATGTTTAAAATAACTCTTTTCATCACAAATATAAAAAAAAAAAATTGTGGAACACGTTAAAATTGGTTGTGGCTTATCGAATAATATAATAAAATAAATAGAAGGGGTAAGGTAAAAGCAATATCTATATTTTGGCTCTAACCAAGTCACAATATTATTGTTTAATCAATTGGAAACGCCCCAAGTTTAGAACGTTATCGGTCAATACTTCAATACGAAAGGTACACAACTCAATTTTGTTGGTCACGTCAGTACTGTACCTGTTGAATAATTTAGTCTCTAATTTGCCGTTGCTCCTCCCAAACATTTTATCGGTTTATTAGGTAATATAGGTTATTTTTCCTTAGTTCTTTGCATAGCTGCGTTTTTCTTTTTTACAAGCATTCAGGTGGGGATGGTACCTGTAAACCTTTAATGAAAAACTTCTTACGTTTGCATTTTATTAATCAAATCTTATTTGTAATAAAATTGTAGAAATTAATTTGTCCTTATGCAAATACTACCAACGTCTTTCAACATAAAAGGACATTAATTTACATTCATTAAAAAAAGTTGTTATATCCCAACTTAGCATTCTAGAACGCTAGGCTTTGGCTCAGAACTCCTGTTACATATTTAGGCTAGGGTTTTACACAAATTCGTGGTGATATAAGGGATTCAAACCCAGGACCAAACACCCAAACTTACCTCACGCTCTACGGGAACCGGAGTTTTGCCAACGGGTGTCAGGTAGATGGGGTGGATGCAATCGGCCACCTCTTGGTGCGGAGATTTGCCTACGGTGGGGGCGGGAGAAAGAGAGTGTGAGGGAGGGAGAGAGAGCGATTGTCAGGGTTGTCTACGCTTGGGGGGGTCGTCACCCTGACCACTGCGTTCATAGGAATGCAGTCGCGTTGGGAGGAAATGTATAAGATTTTTGAGCCAGGAGCACTGACCCAGCATGACACATCGATTCTTGGAGTGATTATTAAAGAGCATCCATCTTTCTCATAACAGGAAAACGTACATATGTCCCCTAATGAGTTGAGTATTTATCCTTGTAAATTAATGTTTTCTTATACAGTAATTTTCAACTTTTTAGTAGCATACTCAAGCATATTTTTTTTATGTATACACGTGTCTTTAAGCGTCTTATTTATTAGATGCACCAAAAATGTTCTTAAACTCTTCGCCTTAAATAATAAAAATAATTCAATTTATATTTGCACCATTAAGTTCACCTAAACGAATAAATTAGCTCTAAGACGTTGCTATATTTGACAAGAGCTGTGTCTAAAATCCTGTTTTCATGCTGAGATAACGCTTTTATTATTTACATAATTATTTAAGGCTTGCAGTTATATCTCGCGTTTTCCCATATATTGATAACATTTTGTGTATCAAATCAAATGATAAATATATATATATGGCTTCGTTTAGTTGAGATTTATCCAATATTCGCTTACAAATCCCACTTAGAAGGTCCTCGTAGCAGAAATCCTA